CCCGCCGCAGGTCCTACTCTTAGACATGTACTAGTGCCCAAGGGTCGTTTCGCTTAGCAACTCTTCCCATATTGACACAAAAGGCCAAAACCATGTAGTTCAGTAAGCTTGCATGACCAATCGTCCAAAATGACGTTTGTTTGTACCTGGCTGCATGAATGCATAGACTTTCTGCCCAAATTAGTTCTCCGTCGTGGAGAAAGGGAAAACACATGCGTTCGTGCAAATAAACAAACAGAAGACCATTCTACCACTTGATTTCACAGGGGGGGGGATCAGGTTGGGGGTTTGGTCGTGGTGGGTTCTCGCAAACCTCGCTCTCTGACGCCCTGTGTGCTGGCGGTGGGTCTGAATGCATTGAAACCTCGCGCGGCCGCTGCTGTATCTGCTCACAAGGCCCGGCAGGGCAGACTACGCCGGAAGCTGTTGTCGACAGGAATGGACGCCAGGCAAGAGTCATGTTGCTGGGAGACTGATAGATGTCGCGAATCAATTTCCATTCTTTTTTGCTTTCCCTAAATCCTAAATACGAAGTCATGTGGGTTGCATTCCGAAACAAAAGTAGCGATGCCATTGCTCGGACTCTGTGTGCTGGGCCGTGTACGCAAACACACAAGCAGCGGCCAGACGCGACAAGCGCTGCCGCCGTCGGCATGGTTCGACAACCTTGTGCATAAGCACAAGTTAGAAGAGTGGCTCCGTCCGGCTCCTAGACAGAGAAGCGACCCAAAAGACCAATGTGCCTGTGACGTNNAGGGTCCACTAACTCCATTCAACCAGCAGGAACTGTTCTTGTGGGATTGTCTAGGCAAGCCGTACGCAGTGTCATCTTTGCGCATCAAACATGGCATTACTCTGCAGCGGCCTGCAGTTGTTGCTAGACCATCGCACCTGAAAGTGCCGATCTGGAGTCCTGGTGTTCCAGCCTCAGACATCCATTTGCGAGGAACTGATATCTTCACCCGACAGCAGTCCGTGGATGAACCTCAAATCTGTGATGCATTGTGCGTGTCAGCAGAAGAGCTTCGTTCGTTCATTGCAGAGCCTGTTTGCTTAGCAATCCCGGAAGTAATTCTGCAACTGATTCGCAAAGGGTTGTGGGACACACTCATGGTGTGTGCCAACTGGCACCAAAAACGTAGGGGTAAAGCATATCTTGCTTTTGCCGACCGACTTTTTTTGTCCACGTGGCACGAAGAAATGAAAGCGTGCGGCGCATTAGACAGGCTTGTTGCTGCACCAACACTCGTGTTTTCGCAATCGGATGCTTACACATTGGCACACCGCTTGCAGCACTGGGCGACAGACATCTTGGAACGACACAGCAGTGATGATGCTGATTTTGCTGCTGAGCATCTTTTTCTAGAAGAAATGGTTTTAAAGCTACAAGCTTTCAGTAGTGTCGCTAGTATGAATTCCAACCGATCCGGCCGAAAGCAGCCCAAGAGCCACGACTCAGTTGTGAGAGCGTTGTGTGCATGCCTTAATGTGCGAGACAGGAGCAAGCTCCAACCGTTTGTTTTGGAGGGCATGAAAGCAGCATTTCCGGGATTCGATGCCGACGTGCATTGTGACCTTCCCTCAGGGTCTGTGCTGTCGCGGAGACAGCTGGTGGTAGATTGCGCGTTTGCTTGCTTTTGGCGGCAGCTGCTAGCAGATCATGACGGTTGCATGTACCTTTGGGCAGACAGCTCCCCCCAGGGTGGGGTGGATTGGCTTTTGTCAATAATTGTTTTGATTAAGAGGGAAAACTTGGAAGAGGTGGCTGAAGCTGCAGATGCCTTGCAGGGTTCCGCAGAGAGGTTTGTTGCAGCTTGTGAGCTTGACGACACACATGCCATGATGCAGATTGCACAACAGCGGCATGCATGTGGACTGGTGCTCACAAGAGGCATGCAACGGCATCGGCAAATCCCCATGGCATTGGGTTCTGGACGTTCTTCGCTGGAGCACAAGGTGAGGTGCATTTGTCAAAAATTTTATGCTGAGTCACAATCCCTTCCAGCATTAAAGAAAAACTTGGGTCGGGTTCGAAGTGTCTGCACCGATATGGGAACAGAAATGGGCTTACCGCAAATGGAAGGTGCCAGCCTCGAAAGCCTCATCCCGTCCTACATGTTAGAAGATGCTGGGTTGTTTAGTGAAGAGGCTGCAGGTCAGGCAGAACATTGTGCGAATTTTCTGCTACCTGAAGCATTGCTCGCGCCGGGCATCTTGCACATAGTGCACAACATGATGAAAGACACTGATTCTAATCTTTCCTTTTGGAAGACTTGGATCCCAGGGTTGAAAGCCATAGCGAAGCTATTGCATGAAGACCATCTCAGACAGAGGCTGGTGGCCACTTGCATTAAAGGAACACCTTTCGAATGGTTGGAAGAGCACTTCCAAAAGGGGGTCCCGCAGCCTATTGAGTGGCGGTGGGGCACAGTGACAGCAATCGTTGAACATGTGCTATCGGTTCGAAGTGCCATCCAAGCGATTTGGAATCCTGCTGTTTTTGGCAAGGGTGAAAGTGAGGAGCGAGAGAGAACAGAGGGTGCAGATGCATTGAACGTGGATACCATCACAGAAGCAGTCAGGTCAAAAAAGTGGTGGTTGCAAACACAGCTTGTCCTTGACTTTCATAAGTTTGGGGAGGGGTTTTCATCTTGGGCTGAAGGTTGCGAGTGTCACGGTTTTCTGCGACCTGTAGATACGGGAGATGTTCATTTGCGACGGAAAACCAAGGCCTCTACGGAGGCTGCAGAACTCAGGGCAGCTAGAGGCAGGCTTGGATTGGCATCATCGCACGAAGGGGATGGGGTTGGATTCACATGCCCTTTGGCGGGCTGTAGGGCGCCAGACTTGGCATGTGGAGCGGCCAAACAACATTTCGAGGAACTGGGCGACAATCAGCTTCACAGGCTGAGGCAAGCAGGCATCGATTTGGGAGTGGAAGCCTCGGACATCGTTGAAGTTCTGGACGCTGCAGTCTGCTGTAGAGCATCCATGCAAAGCTACATGAGTCAGAAGCTTCAGTGCTGGCAAGTGCTGCCTTGGAAGTTGTGTGGTATTGCCCACCATAACACCGCAAAATCCAGGCAGTGTGCGGCTGAGTGTTTGCAACTTTTTCGCGAGTCCCCGCACGAGGAACAACTTCACCACAGGCTGACTTGGGTACATTTGCGAGAGGGGGCCCCAACACGTGTGCAGTTAGAGTCTTATGTACAGGGTACCAGACTGCAAGACCTTCCTGACCTGAAATCATTGGTGTATGAACTCAAGTTTGTTCCCACCGTGGAGCGTGTGCAGGAAGCTGACCACAGCATTGTGCACAGGTCTGTCCAATACAAGGGTGTTCGGGGGCCTTACGTGTCTTGTGCTTTGCGGCTGCCAGAGATCCGTGCTTTGATGCAGCATGAGGACCAATACAAGAGCTTCCTGGCTCGTTTCGCAGAGGTAGAAGACATGAACGAGTTGGCCAAACGTTTCGGTTTCTACAAACATGAGCGTTGGCAAGTTGCCTGCCACGAGAAACACCACAAGAAGCGGAAAATAATTCTTGCTGCAGCAATCCTGTATTCTATGGATGTGGAGACTCAGTTCAGCCAAATGCAGGCAGCCAGGAAAGCCCGGGAAAAGCGAGCCCGTGAAAGGCAAGCCGTTGAAAAAAAATGGTATGAGCAATTTGATAAGAAGAAAACGTTTTCTTTGCAAACAGTCGAAGAGCTTGCAGTGTCGGACCATGTGCAATCAGAGTTGAAAGTGGGGCGTTTGTACAGCTTGCCCACTGGTGCTGCTGCGTTGCGTGCTTTGTCTTGCAAGCTGGAGCCCATGCACGTGCAGGCATCCGGAGCAGGAGGAGGTGTTGCATTAGAATCTAGAAAAGAGCCTTTTCGGGAGAGACGAGAGGAGGCTCTTTTGCTAGTCCCTGACATCGAGGTAGTCCCAACGGTTTCGCATTTGGTTCCCCAACAGCAGAATTCAAATCTCGAGGAGGCAGAGCAGGCAGAGGCAGAGTGCCCGAGTGACCATGGCATGATTTTTTGGCGGTTGACGTGCTCCAATCCAAGCAGGCACAAATTGGTAAGGCTGCCAGTGGCGGGGGCCCGCAAGCTTGCTCAGGGTGACATGTGTGTGACATTGCATAGGTCGATCAGAGGGCAAGGCAGCTGTTATGTTGAGGTTGAGGCTGCCAGCAGTGAAGGCATCAGCATGCCCGTTGCAGTGTTCTCCATGTTGCAAGCAGACATGTCGCTGTTGCGAGAGGGTATGTTATCTTGGTCGACGGTGAAAGAGCCGTCCTTCGTTTTGTCGGGGTGCGAGAGTATCATGTCCAATGCCATGATGCAGGTTTTGAGCCGTATGGTAGTGGCAGGAGCCTTCCCGCGAACCGGGGATCAGCCCGCCGGGCACTATGTCGTGACATCAAGCGATGTCGAAGCATTGGGGTGTTTGGAAATGTTGTCAAAGGCGGGCATGGTGCAGCTAGTTGGGGTGGTCGAGGGCGAACGGCGCTATGCTTTCACAGACCTCGGCACGAGGAGCCTCCGGCATGTTCACAAGTGTGCCAGCCCAAGTCGGTTTTTCATGTCGCCTTCAGAACTTGCAAACATACCCCACGAAGAATGGTCCCACTGTAGCAACTGGGAGTTGCTTCAGTTGTTGAAACAGCAGGGTTGGAGCTTGCGGAAGTTGCCCCCTCCCAAAATCTTGAAAAGGCATCCCCTTCCTCCACATACATCCGAAAGTCTCGAGAAGCAGCAACTGCTCTGGTATCTGTCAAGTGTGACTTTGCAAAAAAGCAAAGCTTACATGCTGGCATTGCTTAGTTCCGAGAGGTTGTTTGGCACTAGCTTGGCCGAGATTCACCATGGTATGTCTGTGAAGTACTATGAGCGAATTCTAGATGGCACCTCAGATGGCAGGGTTGCACAGCTCAGCATTGAAGATTCTGAGCCGGTCCTGAAGTTGCTGTCTGATGTTGCCGAAGACCCGGTGCCTCTTCCAGATTCAGCATCGAGGCCTGCAAATGTACGTAGGCCACGGCAGGCATCAGTCGCCGAAGCGCCAGCAGCCCCCATCGCCCCCATCCCCGTCGCAGAGGATGTTCAGGAACTGTTAGACATGTTTGAAGAAGCTTCCGAAGAGGCCCATAGCAGTGATACTGAGAACCGAGGGTTTGTGTTGGAATCGCCAAGCAATAGTGAAAACGACCTGTTTGCAGAGCCCCTTGCTTCGTCGTTCAGCAGATCTCCTCAGCTTGAGGCCGGGCTCTGCGATGACATTTCAGGTGGTGCGGCTGGTGTCGGTGACATTGAACTAGGTAGTTCAGCTGATGCGGGCAGTGCTGCTGATTGTGCGGGTAGTGCCGCTGATGGTGCGGGTAGTGCCGCTGGTAGTGCTCTTCCTGGTGGTGACCCGAGCAATGATGCCAGAGGTCACTCTGCAGCAGAGGCAGAGTCGGCCATGGATGTGGATGCTGAGGCCGAGGCCGAGGCTGCTGACAGGCACCGAGTAGTAAATCCCGACTCATTTAACTGGAGTTCAGGGTTTCGCCTCACATTCGTCGGTCCTGATAAAAGGCCCCCAGCCGGGTGCTGGCAGGCCACGTGCCGCTACCATGCCAAATCTAGTGCCACGGGATGCAAACGCTCACTGGCAGTGGGAGTCCAAGCAAATGGCAAAGACGTTGTGATGCGCATGCTCATGGGCTGGTGTTTACAAGCACCAGACCACACCACTAAGAAAACACATGGAGCAATCCCACTCAGCCCCCAAAACGTGTTGCCTTTGGATGTATTGAATAGTCGACTCCAAGCCCTGCCCGACCCCCCTGCTGTTGTAAGAACAGACGAAGAAATCGAGGCAGAGAATGCTGTGCAGGCTGCGGCTGCAGATCGAGGCGGCAGGCGTTCCAAGCGTGCGAGGGCATCTGCCGAAGCCCCCAAAGCCAAGGCCAAAGGCAAAGCAAAGCCCAAAGCTTCCAAGCATAAGGCCAAGGCCAAGAGTGCTCCTGTGCATCCCGGTCCTGACGAGGCTGCAAGCGATCCTGAGAGCAGTGAGAGCGACTCAGGATCAAATTCGAGCAGCTCTTCAAGCAGCTCGTCGAGCTCTGGGTCAGGATCAGACCGTCTCACGACTGATGCATCGAATGAGTGAGGTTGAAAAGAGTTTTGACTCATCGCTTTCGTTTTGACGTGAGACTGTCGACTGCGGCATTTTGCACAGCATACACTAGGCATGCGGCGTGCGTGAGAAACCTGTCCTGTGAGTGCAGTGTTTCGGCCGGCAGTTTAGAAGGGTTGTTGCTGTAGGCAGCAGCAGCTCCTGGAGGATGAGCTGGGGCCGAGATTCATGGCGGTGGAAGCAGGACCCTGGCTGGGAGGATCAGTCGTGGAAGCGAGACCGAGATGATCGCCGATGGTCTGAGTCTGGGTCACAAGTTCGTGGCAGTGCCTCTAGCCAACCTGGTTGGCGAGACTGGAGCAGCTGGCACGACCGGGGTGCCAGGCCAAGCAAGCCAGAGCAGCCAGTTTATGGTGGAGGCAGGGGCAGCGGCAGTGGCGGTGGCAAGAAATGGCCCAACAAAGACCGCTATGAAAGGCGGAGTGCAAAAGCAAAGGCCTTGCGCTCGGCACGTGGGGCGGCGAAGCGAGCTCTTTTGATGGACCAGCCGCGGCTTGCTGATCGGCTTCGAGATGAGAGCAGCGAGAGCAGCGAGGACAGTGCGGCTGCAGAGCCAGAGCCCGAGTCATGTGAAGACCAGTGGCCCAAGGACCCAAGGTTGAAGATTCGGGCCATTGCGGTTAGCCCCGCCAAAGCAGAGATGGCCAATGCGGTTAGCCCCGCCGAAGCAGAGATGGCTAATGCGGTTAGCCCCTTCGATGCAGACATGGCCAATGCGGTTAGCCCCTTTGATGCAGAGATGGCCAGTGCGGGTAGCCTCGCCAAGACAGAGGTAGTCAATGCGGGTAGCCCCGCCAAGGCCGTGCTGGCACGGAACCCAAAAGAGAGTTCCAGCCGATAAAAGTGGCTCCGAGAACGGCGATGATGCCATGTCATGCAGCCTTGCGGGTGGCTCCGCTGGCTGCTGTGGCCTACGTGCGGGTGGCCCCGCTTGCAGTGAGCAGCCATTGCGTTTTTCACAAGATGCACAGCAGTTTGATAGTGAAGTTTTGAGCCCTACATCACCCGCCGATCCAAGTGAGGATGGTGCAAAGGGCCAGGACTTTTAAATTGTCAAGACGCCTCTCTGTCAGCCAACCTCAGTACCTCATGCCTGTGTGTGCCAAAAGAGATTTCTCATTTCAAGCGCTGTTCTTTTCGTGCTCTCTCTCTCTCTCTCTCTCTCTCTCTCTCTGTCTCTCTCTCAGCTGCTGTCCGAGTGCGCATTGCATGTGGTGACATGACCAGATTTGATTTATGCACAGAAGCCCGAGCTGAGTCGTGATGCGTCAGGTCTTTGCAAACTGATTTTGCACCGCTTGGCTTTTGTTTTCAAGGCTTTTCCGTGCGTCGTGCCCATGAGTGCTATTCGCCAGTCTGCTGAGATTTGTTCTGCTTTTTTGGCAGCGGAGGACCCGTTGAGCCTTTCTTATCAGATTTCTAAGTTTCTTAGTAAATTCTGTGCAGGATAGGGAGAATTCGGCAGAAATGACTCCAGGCCATTTTGGGGTGGTTGCAGGTTGCCACAGAGCTGGTTCGGAGGTGGTTCGGAGGTGGTTCGGAGGTGGCTCGGAGGTGGCTCGGGGTGGGCTCGGGATGGCTTGTTGTGCATGGGTTGTGTTTTTGCAGATTTCTATGTGGTTTTATAAACTTTTGCTTACAATGTGAAGAAAATCTGTAAAAGTATTACAGACTCGCCCGAAACCAACAACCCGTTGGTGCGCATCGGTTTTTGTGCCCCAATTGACTGTCACCCGTCCCCAGCCTGCAGATAAGCCCGAAGTAGACCCGGAAGGATGTTTGAAAGCCTCGGTTGTGTCCCTGGCAACATAAAGGGACCCAAAACAGAGCCGGCACGACAGCATCAACCATGCCAACTGTGATCGCAGAACATCAGCCGAAAGTGCAGCTGTGAAGCTTCAAGATTCGAGGCAAAGCTCATGGATTCATGCAGCAATTGCATTGGCTCAGGTTAGTTAAGTTCGGACAGCTTTTGTGGGATGCACTGATCCTACTGAAATTGGAGCTACTTTGGTAGGGCTTCCATCCATACATGTGTTGGTTGCAAGCACTCAGACATCCAAGCTTGTGAATGGTTTCAATGATGTTGCAGCCAGATTACGAAGAAGGCCAGGCATCATCAGTCGATGCACACCTCCGGGCTATATCACAAGCTAAAGGTGCAGCTTATTTTAACCTGGAAGAGAGGCTGACCGGCCCCAGGAATCCCATTGAATCAGTGCTTTGGGCTATCCAGGAGTTGGAGAGTTTGCGGGATCAAGGCCAGAAATTTTTCTCCGTGGATTTTGCTGCGCTAGCCAGTGATCGCATGCTGCAGGGTATTGTGCTGACAACAGATTATTCTGGGATGGGGTGTCCTGAGGAGGCCTTGCAGCAGTTGCTGAAAGCTGTGCTTGTTTGCACTGACAGGAAGGGTCCCGAAGTGCCCGACACATCGGCTTGCTACTCTTTGCGTGCAGGCGACATGAACAAACATTGTCGATGCATATTGATGAAACATGTTGGCACGTTTCGTCCGTTGTGTGTTCATGGAGATATCATGGACAGATGTGGCAAGAAGCTGCGAGAACGAATGGAGCACACTAGAACCACAGCTCTGGGGGTGGTGCAGAAGCAAATCGACGATGGCAAGAGCAAGAACTCAGCTTCTGTGGTAGAGGCAGGTAGAGCTACTGTACGCAAGATCGCGAAGTTCATGCTGGGTGCCACGGCACGCAAAACCCTACCACGTCATGCGCATTGCTATGTTCACGATGACATGTGCCCTGTGACTCCAGGCGCAGGAACGTGCAAAGGTTTGCGTGTTCATGTGGCGGGTGTCAGCTGCTACGACTGGAGCAAAATGGGCAGTGCACACGGGTGGTTGGGGCAAGGAATGCCCATCTTTATGCAATGGGCACGTGAAAGGATGGTGTCGTTGGAAGACCTGATCATTGTAGAATGCGTACCACAATTCGATTCAGAGATGATGGGAGAACTGTTTGAAAACCACTACAACCTGGATGTTCTACAGTTTGGTCCTACACTGTTCGGGGAACCAGTAGAGCGGCCTCGAAAGTACATGATCCTTACCAGGAAAGACAAGCTTCAATGGCGTGCGCAGATCGAGGACTTTGGGGTACAAGATGCATTCTTTCGAATCTTCGCCAGGACAGTATGCATGGAGGGGCAGTGCAAATTCCGGGCCCCCGATGACTACATAGAATCGCAGCTGCAAGATTTGGCACGGGCCCAGAGCTTGCCGCCAAGGAGTCGAAGTGGGAAGCAATGGAGCTTTTACCAAGTAGCCTCTCAAGCTGTACGTAGCAGCATTGATGACCATGAGGCTGCGGTTGCTAGGCGCATCGGGTCGGATGCTGTCCAGACTTCGTGGATTGCTAACCTGCGTCAGAGCAGCACCTTTATGCCAGCAATGCAATTCACCGTCCCGGCCTTGCTTCGCACTTCCAGGCTTTGGCTTTGCGGGAAGAGGCGAAATGCCTTGCCGTTGGAGTTGCTGGAAGTCCAGGGTTGGAACATTTGGGGATCTGGAGGCATCAGCAGAGACACAGAAGTGGAGAGCGAGGGGATGGAGCCATCCTTGCCAGATGAGTTGCGTTGTGGCTTTGTGCAGCATCTACACGATCTTTCCTCAACTCAGATTTTCAGCATGGCCGGGAACTCGATGCACCTCCGAGCCATTGGGGCTACTTTGCTGTTTTGCTTCGGATGCACTGAGCCAGTCTCTCCATAGTCTGTGGCGGCCAGGGTGAGTGCAGCTTTTTTGAACAGACGTTGGTTAGTGTAGCAGACAGCCTGGATGAATGAGCGTTTGTCGCGAGTTAACAATGCTGTGTTTGCATCGTTGGACCGACAGAGATGGATTGCTTGTAGCAAGGTAGACCGAGGGGTTCATGGAAGTTCATGCCATGCGATAAAGTCGAATGCAAGCTGGCTGTAGGAGCTGTCTTGGATTCTTGGATCCCATCATTGCCAGACAGGTGTTGCTCGACAGGTG